GGGAGCGAGATAAATAGGTAGGTAAATAGTTATATAGAGAAAAAGGATGTTGGTGCGTGGTTAAGTAGGGAGATAGGAATATAGGAGGATACATTGATTAATAGAAAGATAGATACAAGTAGGCAAATAGAGACGGAGGCCATAGGTAGATAGGCAAGTAGAGAGAGAGAGAGAGAGAGAGAGAGAGAGAGAGAGAGAGAGAGAGAGAGAGAGAGAGAGAGAGAGAGAGAGAGAGAGAGAGAGAGAGAATAGGGAAAGAAAGAGAGAGAGAGAGAGAGAGAGAGAGAGAGAATAGGGAAAGAAAGAGAGAGAGAGAGAGAGAGAGAGAGAGAGACAGAGAGAGAGAGAAAGAGAGAAAGAGAGAAGAGAAAGAGAGAAAGAGAGAGAGAGAGAGAGAGAGAGAGAGAGAGAGAGAGAGAGAGAGAGAGAGAGAGAGAGAGAGAGAGAGAGAGAGAGAGAGAGAGAGAGAATAGGGAAAGAAAGAGAGAGAGAGAGAGAGAGAGAGAGAGAGAGAGAGAGAGAGAGAGAGAGAGAGAGAGAGAGAGAGGAGAGAGAGAGAGAGAGAGAAAGAGAGAGAAAAGAGAGAGAAAAGAGAGAGAAAAGAGAGAGAAAAGAGAGAGAGAGAAAAAAGAGAGAGAGAGAAAAAGAGAGAGAGAGAGAAAAGAGAGAGAGAGAGAAAAGAGAGAGAGAGAAGAGAGAGAAAGAGAGAGAGAGAGAGAGAAAAGAGGAGAGAGAGAGAAAAGAGGAGAGAGAGAGAAAAGAGGAGAGAGAGAGAAAAGAGGAGAGAGAGAGAAAAGAGGAGAGAGAGAGAAAAGAGGAGAGAGAGAGGAAAAGAGAGAGAGAGAGAAAAGAGAGAGAGAGAGAGAAAGAGAGAGAGAGAGAGAAAAGAGAAGAGAGAAGAGAGAGATAGAGAGAAAGAGAGAAGAGAAGAGAAAGAAGAGAGAAGAGAGAGAAGAAGAGAAGAAGAGAGAAAGAGAGAGAGAGAGAGAGTGAGAGAGAGAGAGAGAGAGAGAGAGAGAGAGAGAGAGAGAGAGAGAGAGAGAGAGAGAGAGAGAGAGGGAGAGAATGGCTTAGAACGACAATAATGATATATTTTATATATTCTTGCTGATGTACTTGAAGTACTGAGAGCAAAATTAGTTATTATGCTTGCCCCGGTCCATTATAAATACGACCATTTATTTTTTTCTACAATAAGATTTTATATATATATATATATATATATATATATATATATATATATATATATATATATATATATATATATATATATATATGTATACATATACATATTTTATATAATTTATAATGTATATATTATATATAACTTTAATATATATATCTATATATATATATATATATATATATATATATATATATATATATATATATATATATATATATATATATATATATTCTCTATATTTCAGCCACGGCGTCTAAATAGAGCATTTTCGCCGTCAATGTTTACTGAACGTATTGCCATAGCTATGAATTGTAATCGTTTTACGGTTTATTTATATGCAGCAAACATGTTATGTTATTATTACCTATTCATTGATTCGATTCATATGAGTTTGTATGCATGTTACAATGAAGCATCTCTGGAATAGGTGTATATGTAAGTTAAACCTGGTCCTCCTCTCACAGGCTGGACAGTTTCGGGTTTAACACTCCAAGATACAGAGTGATAAGGTGGGGAGTTTGTGTTGGAATTACCACTGCTTGTGGCCTGTAGTTGGCATGGAAGAAGGCAATGAAGAGGGTTGATTAAGAGTTATGTAACTCTCATATTTCATAAACAAACCACAGGAGAAATGGGAACGCAAGAACACTCACCACTTTGCATGGTTTCACTGTTGGTATAAATATTTTTTTTCACTGTTACTGATTCGTGTCACTTAGTGATTGAATAGAGTTTCTGTTTTTGTTTTTTTTCTTATTGTCGGATAGTTAGTATGTCTCTTCTATAGATCCACCTTCTCTGACATGTCTGATTGTGCAGGTCTTGCTACATCTTTACATGGCCCAAGCAACACACACACACACACACACACACACACACACACACACACACACACACACACACACACACACACACACACACACACACACACACACACACAAACACACACACATCTACCATGCCATGCAACAAGGGCAGCTCATAGTTCTTAGGCCCAAACAGATTACGGGGAAAGACCTTCGTGAATGTGCCAGCGTACCTCACTCGAAGACCGCTGCTTTCAACCACCGTCTGCCTCACACAAGACCACAAGAGACCAAGGATAGTGTTTTGGGGGTGCTCCAGTAGGTTATGCATGCGTGCACACAACGCACATTGACAGCGATTAAGAAGTCTTTATGAGAACGATTGCAGATGATTACAGAGATGAAGACAGTGAGACAGGGATAATTCTTAGAAATAAATTGTGTATCGCTGAATATATCATCAAGTCATGATTGCTTGTAACCGTAATAGGGTATATATATTCTTTAT